CTGGAGGGTGAAGGTCAGGCTGACCAAAGCTCAGAATTAGCTCAGGCTTGCAAGAAAGGTTAAATAATAATAATAATAATAATAATAATAATAATAATTTATTTGTACCCTGCCCATCTGGCTGGGTTTCCCCAGCCACTCTGGGCGGCTTCCATAGAAACAAAAAATACAGTAAAATATCACAGATTAAAAACTTCCCTGAAGATGTCTTCTAAATGTCAGGTAGTTATTTATCGCTTTGACATCTGATGGGAGGGCGTTCCACAGGGCGGGCGCCACTACCAAGAAGGCCCTCTGCCTGGTTCCCTGTAGCTTTGCTTCTCGCAATGAGGGAACGGCCAGAAGGCCCTCGGCGCTGGACCTCAGCGTCCGGGCAGAACGATGGGGGTGAAGACGCTCCTTCAGATATACTGGGCCGAGGCCGTTTAGGGCTTTAAAGGTCAGCACCAACACTTTGAATTGTGCTAATAATAATAATATTTCTTGGACTATGTCCGAAACAAGAGGAAGAACAAGCAAGTGATAGGTCCTCTGTGTGGAGAAGACAGAGAAATTATACTGGGTGAGTGGGAGAAGGCAGAACTGCTCAACACCTCCTTTGCCTCTGTCTTCACCCAAAAGGGAAGCGATGCTCAACCTGCTGATAAGAGGAGTTGACTGGGATGTGGACAGACAGCGCAGAGCTCTCTCAGCCTGTTTCGAGCCACCGCCACCTGACCGTTGACCAGGATATCCATGGAACTGTTTGATCCCTGTTAAAAAATTTAGCTCCTTCCTCCTCAGAAAGCTTCCAGGTTTCACCTCGACATCCGCTGCGGCGACACTTGCCCTCCCAGGTGCCCTGAGCGAAGGACGTGCAGATTCCTAATTGGGCCTCCGTCTCCCTGAGCCCTCGCCTTTCCTCTCCAAGAGTTAATTCCTGAGTCTGGAGCTGTCACCACGGCAAGGCAGAGGCACGTCCTGGCTGAAGGCGCAGCTACAGAATTTGTCAGGTGAGCGGCCGGTCGCTTGGGGGGAAGAACTTTGCTCTTCTCAAACTCTCCGCTGCTTCCCAGCAGTTTCTCTGGATTGCTCCCTTTTGGGGGGCTGAGGACCTTTGGGGTATCCATGAGAAGTCTTTGGATCAGACTGCAGGCAGGGCTTTTTGTCAGCCAGAACTCAGTTCCAGAACCTCCAGGGGTCAGCAAACTTTTTCAGCCGTGGGCCGGTCCTCTGTCCCTCAGGCCTTGTGAGGGGCTGGACTATATTTTGGAGAGAAAAAAAGAACGAATTCCTATGCCCCACAAATACCCCAGAGATGCATTTTAAATAAAAGCACACATTCTACTCATGTAAAAACACGCTGATTCCCGGACTGTCCGCAGGCCGGATTTAGAAGGTGATTGGGCCAGATCTGGCCCCCGGGCCTTAGTTTGCCTACCTCTAGGAGCATGTCCTCCAACACAGGGATGCCCAATTTAATAATAATAATAATAATAATAATAATAATAATAATTTATACTCTGCCCATCTGATTGGGTTTCCCCAGACACTCTGGGCAGTTTCCAACATACTGTATATAAAAACATTAAACATTAAAAAAACTTCCCTATCCAGGGCTGCCTTCAGTTGTTTTCTAAAGCTTGTCTAGTTACTTATCTTCTTGGCTCGGGGGTCACATAACTCCATACTTTCCAACATTTCTCCAGTGAAAAAAGGGACATCCTAAGGAAAAACGTGACATTCCAGGATGAAATCAAAAACCAGGATGGTTTCTGTAAATCTGGCACTGTCCCTAGAAAAAAGGGGTGCTTGAAGGATCTAGCTTTTGAGCCTCATGCTAAGGAAAAGCGGGACATTCCAGGTTCAAATCTTTCTGTAAATCCAGAACTGTCCCAGGAAAATAGGGACACTGGAGCTTAAATACTGCTGGTTGCAGATGGGGCCCCTAAGTATTTGGGACCGCGGAGGTGCTTGCAGAGATGGCAGGTCCTTTTGGGAGGAAGGCGGAGAAGAGAGGCAGAATAAACAAGCAGGAATTGTAATTATCCTATTAGGATGGTGCAGCGAAAAGTCTCCAGGCAGCCGACTGCCTTTAATGGGTGCAAACCGTGACCTCCTCCTCTGCTGAGCTGCATCGCTGCTCTTTGAAGATGCTGCGTGGGGCAAGAGCTGCTTCCCTCTGACCCCAGGTTTATTTATTCGTACCTTTATTAAACCCACCTTTGCTCCAGGGAGCTCAAGGCCGGTGTGTTGGATGGTTCAGGACAGACAGAGCCGGATTAAGACCTGTAGAGGCCCTAAGCACTTAAAAGATTTTGGTGCACCCATATATATCCAATTTAAAATATATACAATAATAAACCGTAAGATAGCAATTCATTTTTCAAAATGAAACACAAACCTCCAGCAGATGAATGCGGAAGCTGTTGAAAATAATGAAGGATTAACATCAGAATGTATTAAGGGAATTAATGCAATATTTTGAAATGCAGTAGAACTGTGAGATGATTAGGATTCCCTCCGATCTTGAAGCATGGAAAGCCAGCAAAATAATAACAATAATTTATAATTAAGCATAACATTGGGATTTGTTTGATTATTGGATAATTTGTATAATTTGGAATATATAATTTGGTTTGACTGGAAATTTTTACTAAATATTATTTAAAAAAAGAAGAAGAAAGAAACATAAACCTACAGCAGACCCTCCAAGTGCCCCTATTTCCCAGAGACAGTCCCGGATTCACAGAAGCCATCCCAGTTTCTAATTTGATCCCGGAATGTCCCGCTTTTCCTTAGGGCATCCCTATTTTCATCAGAGAAATTTTGGAGGTTATGGAGTTATGTGACCCTCGAGCCAAGAAGATAAGTAACTAGACAACCTTTAGGAGACATCGGAAGGCAGCCCTGGATAGGGAAGTTTTTTAATGTTTCATGTTTTATTATGTTTTTATAGGTGCTGGAAACTGCCCAGAGTGGCTGGGGCAACACAGTCAGATAGGTGAAGTACTATTATCATCATCATCATCATCATTATTATTATTATTATTATTATTATTGACTAGGATGTCCCTATTTTCATCGGAGAAATGTCGGAGGGTATGCTCTTATTCTGTTCTTTGGGATGCGAAGTTCCCTGGCTGCCAAGCCTCCTCTCTAAAAAAAAAACCAAAAACCAAGGCTGTTTGGCTGGCAAACTTATTTACCACCCAGATGCTGATTAATTAAATTATCCTTCTCTGAAGAGTGCAAAAAGCTCCACCTGGAATTAAGCCTCAAACCCTCTGCCTTTCCAGAAGACCTGGTGATGCATCTGCCAAAAGAAGGCCTGAGTTGCTATGGTGATGTTGCGGGGGGCAGGGGGAGAGAAAATCGATTCATTTTTCTTCCCTTTCTCTCTCTCTCTCCAGTCCACCCACAAACCCCCCAACCTGCCCTCTCAGGGCAGGAGTCGGATCAATTGCTCTCCGAGTCGCTTCTGACTGCCCCAGCAATATGGACAGTCCTTTGCCCCCCCCCCCGCACCCCAAGATGGCAGAACAAAAGCACTGGGTTCCTGGCTGCAGCCCCCACCCACCCAGCAGCCGTCTCCTTTCCACGCAGCCTGGAACATATTGATTTCTGAAAATATATATAAAAGGGCCTTTCTCTCCCACCCCTTTTTTTCTTAGAGGGCAGCATGCATCATTTCGCTTACTTAAAAAATGTATTTTGTCTTTATTAATCAATGTTATATACCGCTGTGTCATACATCCTGCTGGTTTGCAACAATATAAAAATGTAAAACTGTAACGTAAAGATTAAAAGCTACGTGTTCTTAGCTGCCTGCATGGACAGAATAGAAAAGTTTTGAGCAGGTGTTGGCACAGAAGGTGCCTGCTGAGTCTCCAGTGGCGGGGTCTTCCACAGCGCTGGGATGATGACAGCAAAGAAGCGATTTCTCCTAACTAGACAGCCCTGCTGGCTTCTTCTCCCCCAGGGGAGGGGGTAACTGGTGGAGGGTCCCAAAATCAGAGACTATAAGTGAAATTTTCAGGGGGAAGCCTCATAGACTCCTACTCTGGGCGCATCTGCCCACTTGCTGGTTGTTCCCATGTACCCCCCCCAACTGTCCAAAGCAAGGGTTCCCAAAGCGGGGGGTACTGCCCCCTGGGGTGATGGGATTACCTAGGGTCTAAGAGGCAAGGGGGCAGCAGGGGGGTGCTTGAGGTTGGCCCCTTCTAGTGCACTTAGAATAACTTATTTACAATTGGCGAGGCAAAAGCGAAACACCCTCCTCGCTTCATATAGTTCAGTTAGTTAGCGCGTTGTGCTGACCATGTCAAGGTTGCAGGTTCAGTCCCTGCATGGGGCAGCTGCCTATTCCTGCTTTGCCAGGGGTGAGACTAGATGATCCTCAGGATCCCTTCCAACACTACAGTTCTATGATTCTATGATGCTATATTCAAGCGATATGGACTTCACACTGGTTTTGGACAATATATCACAATATAATGCCTGGCCCTACAAGTGACGAGAATGTTCAGATAATGACAGTGATTGCCACAATTACATACCCTCCAATGTTTCTCTAATGGAAATAGGGACATCCTTAGGAAAAGTGGGACGTTCTGGGATGAAATCAGAAACTGGGCGGTTTCTCTAAATCAGGGATGTCCCTGGAAAATAGGGACCCTTGGAGGGTCTGTAATTAGATAATGCAAGAGAAGCGATTTGAGCATTTGGATGATTATTGTCATGGAAGAGTGGCCTTGGGTACATTGCAATGGACTAGTGGCAAGGTTTATAGCAGGGGTCAGCAAACTTTTTCAGCAGGGGGCCGGTCTACTGTCCCTCAGACCTTGTGGGGGGCTGAACTATATTTTTTGGGGGGAATGAACGAATTCCTATGCCCCACAAATAACCCAGAGATGCATTTTAAATAAAATAGGGATGTTTGGAGGGTCTGGCCATGGAGGCTTTAGTTGAAATTCCTGCATGGTAAAGGGTTGGACCAGATGACTGGATCGCAGCACATGTGCGCACATTCTCTTGGCGCAGGGCGCTCAGCACAGGACAGGCCTGCCTCTGTTCAGCCCTGCTCCGCCTCCGCCCGGAAACAAGCCATCCATCAATTGCCAAAGCTAATTAGCTCCAGGGAGGCACAAAATGCTCACTTCTTGCTGAGCAGCGTTCCCTGGAATGGGTGCATTCAGAATGCATAAAGCAAGCTGATGTTGTCGCTGCCAGAGGAATAAATCGGCTCATCAGCTCAGTGGTGGCTGGGGTGTGTGTGAGTGCCTTTTTGGGGAGAGAGGCCCCCCCCCCCATCTCGATGAGGAAATCAGGAAAACAACTGAGATTAGTGGAAGGATAACACTGAGGAAATGGTTCCTGGCTTCATAAAAAAAGCTTGTGAGGTGTGTGTCTCATACCCTCCAACATTTCTTCAATGAATGTAAGGTAAAGGGACCCCTGACCATTAGGTCCAGTCGTGACCGATTCTGGGGTGGCGGCGGTCATCTCACTTTATTGGCCGAGGGAGCCGGCGTACAGCTTCCGGGTCATGTGGCCAGCAGGACTAAGCTGCTTCTGGCGAACCAGAGCAGCGCACGGAAATGCCGTTTACCTTCCTGCCGGAGCAGTACCTATTTATCTACTTGCACTTTGACGTGCTGCGTCAATGAATATAGGGACATCCTATCCCATCATCATCATCATCACCATACCCTGCCCATCTGACTGGGTTGCCCCAGCCACTCTGGGCAGCTTTCAACATATATAGAAACAGAACAAAACATTAAGCATTAAAAAAGTCCCTCTGCAGAGTTGCCTTAAGATGGTTTGGGGGTCACATAACTCCATGCACTCCAATATTTCTCTGATGAAAATAGGGATGTCCTAAGGAGAAGCAGGACATTCAGGGATCAAATCAGAAACCGTGACAGCTTCTGTAAATCCAGGACTATCCCTGGAAAATAGGGACCCTTGGGGGGTCTGGTGTCCCCCCTGCCCAGCACCCCAGAAAGCTGCTGCCATCCCATGCTAACAATGAGTGAGGCTCTTATTAATTCTTCTTCTGTTGCTGGCACCCATTTGGAGAGACAATAGAGTGCGCTTCAGGGGGGAAGCCAAACTGATTTCAGTGGGTCTTCTCTCTAAGCATTGCTGAGTCTGGATCCAGCTGAGCTCTCTTGGCCTGTTCAAAACTGCCAGCCCCACTCCCCAAAGAAAGAGGGAATCTTAACGAAAACAATAAGGATCCGTGCATTATTTTGGAAAATCTTATTTGAACGCATTACCCAATCAAGGGAATTATGTAAATTGTTTACAACAGTTGTCTCTTTTTTCAGCAAACGTGCTTTCACGGGGGAAGGCTCTGATTAAAATCCAATTAGAAGTCCCCGTTTTAAACCTGCAATTTAATTCATTAAGCGGCTAATAAGGGCTGCTTATAATTCTCTCGGTCTTGCTCCTTGCCAAAGCCCCCACTCCGGCTTCGCACAGCTCAGCCTTCTCCAACTGGGCACTCTCAAGATATTTCAGTCTACTGTTCCTATCAGACTCAGGTTCGAATCCCCCCCACCTGGCCGTGAAACTCCTTGGGAGAACCTGGGGGTCAGTCGCTGCCTCTCAGCCCCATCCTGACTCACGGGGCTGTTGTGAGGATTAAATGAGAAGCACGGGAAGAAGAATCACGGGTGTCCCCCATGAACTCCTTGGAGAAAAAGCTGAGATGGAAATGCAATCATAAACATATCTACTATATATTTAGAAAATGACTTGTCAGCTAGGGATGGGAAATATATATTGTCCAAAGCCAGTTTGACGTCCATATCATGATATTGGTTTCATAATTTTTGACCTGGCAATATATCACGAATCGTGATGTGTCTGTGTGTGTGCTATGCAAAATTCACAATGTGGGGGAAAGCGGGAAGCCAGCCAGCTCCATCCTTGTTTCAGACATCGTGATATAGTGGTATATCCCATATGTCCTTTTCCCCCCCAGGACGTTTCCTCTTTTTCATGGGAAGAGTTGTCATAGCGATCCACAGTTAAAAGTAGAAGTCAGCAATTGTGTCCCCGTTTTTGCTCTTCAAAACATGGCAACCCTACTCAGGGTGATATATTGCAACGTTGAAAACCCACCCTGGTCAGTTGTCACACACAAAGGTCTCCAAGAGACTCACAACATGGTTTAGGAGCGTAAGCATGAATGTCAAAATGCTTTGTTTATTGCTTTTCCACCCCTCATTGTCCGCAAAGGAGCTCAAGTTTTCCCCACCTCCTTGCTGAACCCCACAACAACCCTGTGAGTGGGGATTTGAACCCTGGTCTCTCCCAAGCCCTGCTCTAACCACTATACCATGCTGGCTCTAAAAATGCTCAGAGGCACCTGATCTGGAGGCTGGTGGAGGCCTCCCTCCCCGTAGACTTTCTCCTGCCAGGAAGAAAGAGGAAGCAGGAGACATCCCAGACCAGCCATGGAGGAAGAGTCATGAAAGGTCAGGGGGCTCCTCAGCAACTGCCCTGCTTGCAGAAGGCTGAAGCCGCAATGTTGCTGAGGTGCGCAATGGCGGTGGTGGCAGCATAGCCCCTCCCCCAGTGCTGCCCCCCTCCAATGCTGCGGTGAAGGCCAAGCAGCTCTCAGACAGCTGTCGCCACACTGTAGTCCACAGCGCCACCTGCCTGTGGGCCAAATGAACTGCAGCAAGACAACACTCTTACATTCTTATTATATAGTACAATCTTGGGTTGTGTCCTGGACCCCTGGCCTACCTGGCAGCAATTCAGTATGCCTAGTGCAAAGTTCAAAGTCCAAGGGTCAATCCACACCACCAAAGTCCAAAGGTCAGGAAACGCAGACCAGGATTAATCCAAGTCTGAAGTCCAGCAGTCAGGATACTATCTAGAGTCAAACCCAACGCACAGTCCCGCAGAGGTCCAGGAGCATCCAAGCCAAGGTCCACCAACATGGGCAGTTGACCAGACCCAGCACCTCTGCTCTGCTGCCCTTTTGCACTTTGCATGCCAGTTGCAGCGTCTGAGCTTGATGAGGCATTCCTGCATTGCAGGGGGTTGGACTAGATGACCCTTGGGGTCCCTTCCAACTCTACAAGTCTTTGATTCTATGACAGTCCTCTGCTCCAAGCCTACTCCAGCTGAGGACCCACACCCCTCCTGCCAGAGCAAGCGAGCCCCACCTGGCCAGGTAGGGAGCTGGGCTGTGGGCCTTGCCTGCCTCTGCCTCCTACAGCAGTGGTTCTCCACCTGTGGGTCCCCGGATGTTGTTGGACTACAACTCCCATCATCCCTGAGCTCTGGCCTTGCTAGCTAGGGATGATGGGAGTTGTGGTTCAACAACATCTGGGGACCCACAGCTTGAGAAAGGCTGTCCCTCCTGCTGCTCCCTATGCCTCAGAGCCCGCCATGTTCGTGGGATAGGGGCGCCTCTGACTGGTGATGGGTCCCACTGCTCTGGTACCTGTGCCCTGACCCCCATCCCCTCACCATCCTCCATCACCCTGGGAGTACCTCCTTCTCCATCCCCTGCTGCCCCAGTGCGTCCCAGTCCCCTCACTGGGATCCTCTTCGTCCTCTCCCTCCTTCCTCTCATCCTGCCAGTACATGACAGGTTGCATCTCATGTGAGTCCGGCAGACTTTAGACCCACTGGCATTTATGAAAGTCCTTCTTCATGCAAGATGTAGTTAACCTACGGAACTCTCTCCCACAGGAAGCAGTTATGGTCACCAACCCAGGCAAACTTGTGGAGGAAAAAGATTATCAGTGGCCACTTGCCACCATGGCTACACCATGACTCCAACTTCAGAGGCAGCTCTTCAGGCATTCCTATGGGTCCAGAAATTTTTCAGAATCCCCAGTTGAAATCCCTCTTTCCCTCCCTCCCTCCGACGGTTCTGCAAAACAAGATGGTTATTATTTTTTTCAGAGTTCTGCCACCCCCGACCACTCCACCCACCGCGTTTAAACAGCATGAGATTTAAATGTTTGTGGTTTTTTTTGTTCCGTCATTTTCCTCCCTTTCATTAATGTTTTGCCTGACCCTGGCAGAAACAGAACAGCGGCAGGCTCTGGAGATAAATGACAGCCTGACAAAACAATGGGAGAAAAAGGATGCAATGTTTTGTTTTCAAAGAAAAATGAAATTAAATAAACCGAGTGGATGGAATCCCCCCTCCCTTTTGTTTGGATTCAGTTGTATTCCATGGAGGCAGCTCAGAGAGACAGGAAGTCTCCAGGTTCTTTCCCCAAACAGCCACAAACACACACCAAAGGTGGGATTTGCACAGAGAGCAAAGCCCCTCCAACATCTCTCCAAGGAAAATAGGGATGTCCTATTTCATTAAAA